AATTTTGACCAAGAGTGAAACTTCCCCGAAGAAATTGATTGCGCGTGGATCGGGAGGCAAACTGTTGGGGGATGGTAGATTGGTGGGCAGAATTCCGCTGAAGTCGATGCTCAGCCCCCAGATTCGAAAGCGCATGTCTATGCGCTAGGAATCCGTGAGCGCATGGCCGTGCGCTGACCATGCGCCGGAGGCGCGTTGCCTCCCATTGCTGGCTGCATCGCGCGATTTCCCTGAAATAGGCTGAAACGTCCTCCAACTATCGGGCAACATCAGTTCCAGTCATGTGCTCAACCTCTCGAATCGGATTCCCGACTATAGACACTCTGATTTATGGAGGGCGGTCTGAAAAATTTTGACCAAGAGTGAAACTCATTTCTCGTATTCGGCATCATCTCACTGATCAGAAGGATTAGGGAGAGGAGAGAAAGCTCCTATGCGAGTTTGCCGGAGCCACCCGCGGGGGGGCAAGACGGTCCGTACTTCGATACTACGGAGCCGATCTGATATGGCATGTTCTCTTGTACATATGAATTGAAACTCATATCCCAGAAATAAACGCACTCTTATTGAGAGAAATTTATTGTCGCGAAAATCGAATGACTCCGACACAGCTTCGAGATCTCGGTTGCATCGGGAGCAGAAATTGAAATGTCGGACAATTCGGATTCCTTGGCCGTGAGATGAGTCGGAACGCGAGCGTGAACTTCAAGGAAAGCACAGTGCTGGTTTGGTCTTGAAATACAAACCCGAAATCGAGAGAAGCGGCGACAGCGATATCGGCGGATATCGAGATCAACGAAGTTCGGAGCCTTCGTGCTAGACGAAACGTCTGGTCGAGGGATCGTTGACGGATCGCGAGTTGGAGAGATGGCAGCTCTCGTGGAAGGGGAAAGTCGGATTCGGAAACACTCTCACTCGATGAATTGGTCCAATCGATAGGGTTCAGAGTCGTAGCGATTGAGAAAAGAATTCCAGTCGTGAGAACGGAGATATTATTCGTGGAGCTCGTCGTTGAACCGACCGTGGAGAAAGCGGCTGTGGTGATTGGGGTCGTACTGGAAATATGATAATACGCCATGGCGGAGCGAACCTGGGGAGTTGGAACCTTCTGGTGGAACTGAACTGACCGATCAACATCGATTAATTAGCCGGAGGTAATGAGGTTGATGCTGCGAAAGAGTGAATGAGTCCGGAAACAGCGGTCAAGTGGAGAGACAATAATCAAACTCAAAGTCAATAGCAGAACGAATTATTGCTAGTAACTCATCGTTATTCAACTGAAGCACGTATATATAGTCCGATCTTTACAATGGGGAACAAAACAACTCATGTCAGAGCTACCCAAATTACAATTGGCCTCAACTGGAAGAGGGCGATCTCCGCGCAGTAGGATGCACTGCCGATCGATATCGGAGACGCATCTCCAGAACTGGTTTTCTCTCAGACAAGGAATCGTCCAAGGCTGATCTTCCTGACCTCGCCGATGAGCGTTGTCGTGATGGTGGGGGTCGGACATTCATCGCAACCTACATATTCAATTGAGAATCAGAGGGATCGAGATGTCAGAGAAACAAATGGAAAGTCATCTCATATGAGAGTTGGCGACAGAGTCAATGAGTCCGACTCACGTGAGTGCATCACAACGATGAATATGCATATGAAGAGCAGCATCCCTGGAATCCACCTCCATTTGCACAGAGTGCTGAAGTGAGGATTCACTTTGGGTCCCGGACGATTTTCGACTTTCGAGGAGCACGGGCCAACACTGATCTGTTGGTCTCACGGGACATGGGAAGCTCCTCAGGGGGATTCGGGGCTCAGCGTGCCGTGAACAGAGTGAATAATTCACCAAGATCCATTTTTGATGGAATAATGTTTTTTGAAGTGGATGAAGCTCTTAATTAGGCCTCAAAATTAAGAGAGGATTTCGAGGGAAGATGCGAAATTATCGGTCAATTAGAGATGTCAGAAGCTCTGACAAATTGTGCGGACATTTGGTCTGGATTGATAATCGGAAATCCCAAAAATTTTAATCGCATGCCAGTCTCGATGGATAATGCCGAGACTGAAGCCTACATTCGCGCACTTCATTGCTTGATTACGAACAGCACTAAGGGATGGCTTAGATAAGGTAATCTCAAGCAAAGCTTGGAGATTGGGAATCAGCATCATGTCTGGAAGGCGACATACCGTTTCTTCTAGCCTCACGCGGAGATGGCTTAGATAGGTGAAATAGAAGTCTAGCTTAGTTAGATAAGCTGAGCGAGTCAGCGTCATGTATGAGGAAACAACGCCCGAACCATAGAAGCGTTCGAGGAGCGGATGAGAATAATGATTTGTAATTAGAGGCAAAGGCTTGACTCATCAAGCCTCTTGTTCTTCTGTGTAGGGGGGCATTGATGGGCTAAAGTAGCTACCCAGAAAAATTCTAATGACCATGGGTTGACTCACGGTGTCCAGACCGGACGCTGAAACAATGACTTCAGTATTCTGTAACTTAGTGTAAGTTCAGCGACCGTCATAATTACTGTGGACGGGCTACTGACTTGACCCCTTCCCTCCAGCACTATATAAGGCATAATAAAGATCAGTACTAGTGGGGGAGCCTTTGGTATTTCACACCGAGCAGTGTTCGTCTTCATTAGCCCTTGTCCCAGTTGTATCAAGCACAGCATCGATTCGAGCTCACCGCAGCCAGAGCTAGTAGGCTAGATAGCCGAGAAAACCTATCAGCTAACTAAAGTTACCAGAAAACACGACACGGGAACCCAGAATTTCAACAAGTCTCGGCATTTCATTACTGTTCGTTGCTATCAGTACGAGATCGTCGGCGAACAGGAGGCCTGGGATTCCGAAAGAGCTATCCTCTTTCAGGTCCCATTGCCGATTTTTTGTTCGAACGTGGAAGCCCGCTTTCGTTTGCAGGAGCCCTTTCTCTAGGTCTGCAATGTATAGCATGACTAACACGCTGGATAGCGGGCAACCTTGTTTTAGTCCTCTGGTTGTTGTCGCCCAGTCTGACTCGGTTCCCTTCTCGATGATTTTTATCTCACTCGAGGTGTATAGGATTTGAAGGATCTCGATCCAAGAGGGGTCTATCCCTAGTTCTGCCAGGATGCTCCACAGCTTTTCTCGATCGATCCTGTCATATGCTTTCGTGGCATCTAGGAACGCACAGATAAGTCCATTTTCTCGTTTTGTGGATATCTCGATTGCCGAGGTAAGGATGAAGAGGTTATCGTCACCTCTCCTTCCCGGTCGGAAGCCGTTTTGCATTCGATTGATTTATATTGATCCTTCATATGCACATATGATCTTTCAATTCAGGGGTGACACGTGTTGCGTTCACAGATCTTGTCTCTCCCATTTGTCCAGGGTCGCCTTCGTTCTTCGGGTGATTTCCTGTGTGATGTCAGGTAGAAGTCCGATTCTGTAGGCGAATTCCTCGGGCGAGAACATTTCTTCCTCACACCCTAAGACACCATGTTTGTCTGTTTCGGGTATACCACATCTTGGGCAGCTGCAGTTGACGGAAGGGTCGCGGTCATGTCGTCGTTTCCTGGTGTTGAGCATTCTTGCCCTTGTAAGTGCACGGAGTAGACTCCCGCGAGAGTTGTCGTACAATCTTACGTCGAGACCTCTGGTCTCCTTGTATTTACGATATGTACTCAGCGTGGATTTGGATTCAATGTTCAGTTTCCATGCCGAATCCAGTTTATCTCGCACCTTCTGTCTGAGTTCGTTGCGAAACATATTCCACGCAGGTTTGCCCGATGAACTTCTGGCTGGTCTGATCTCCCCTATCTCAAAAAGCAAGCTCAGTTTATCGAGTCTCTCTGTTGCTTTGATTCGGGTTTCAGCGAGGTCGGCAGCCTGGAGGACAAGTTTTGGCCATCTATCGTCGTCCATATTTCTTATCCTCTCGAAGAACATCGCCTTACTGATGGTCTCACGGGCGTCGAAGGAGCTCCATCCGAGCTCTCCTTCGATGAACTCTTTGGCTATAGTCGAGTGTGGTATGCCGAGAGCCCATCGTCCCGCGTCTCTTTGCCTGACTTCGATGTGGTTTCTGAGCCATTTCGGCATTGTGATTACTGAATTGCAATATGTGAGCTGCGGGACGGCAGTGGCTTTCCAGAGAATTTTGGAGACTTCAAATCTGTTGAAGCACCATAAGGTCCTCGCATTGAGTCTCTGGATCGCCTGGTTGGCTTTCTCTGACCAATTCGGCCATTGTTTAGCTAGGTAGTCATTTCCAGCTGATAGTTCGACCCCAAGATGCTTATAGAATTCCACCAAGGGTATTGGAAGTCCTTGAATCTTGAGAACTCTATCTAGGATCTAGGGTATGGATCGGGGTTGGTCGAGAGTAAATCACGATTCCACTTTTCTGGGGATTAAATTTGATCGACATGTTGTCCCCGAATCTAGAGATTATCTCCAGGAGAGTTTCCATATCCCTGATGTTATTTGTCATTAGAACAAGGTCGTCGGCAAATAATAGACCCTGGATCGTAAAGTTTTTCTGTTCCTTCACGTGACAGAAGTTTCCCCTCTTCGCAAACCTGAACCCGAGTCTTGTGTTTAGGAGTTCTGGCTCAAGGTTTGCGATGTAGAGGCTGAAGAGATTTGGAGAGAGTGGGCAACCTTGGCGGAGTCCCATTGGTACGGAAAGTTCGTCAGAGGTGTAACTCCGTGTTTGAGAAAAATGCAAGTCTCCTCGTACATGTACCTGAGGAATTCGAGCAATGGTTTGTTCATTCCCCTCTCTTCTAGAATTCGCCACAGCTTATTTCGATCGATTCGGTCGTAGGCTTTCGTGGCATCAAGAAATACGCAGAATGGGCCCTTGTGTTGGGCTCTCGCTATTTCGATTGCAGTTGTTAGGATGAATATGTTGTCATCGCCTCTGCGGTCTCTCCGGAACCCATTTTGCATTTCGGATAGCTGTTCAGCGCACTCAGTTCATTGTTGTATGTGTCTCCCTAATATCTTAGTGGAGATCCTATACAGGATATCGGACACTGTAATGGGTCGGTAGGTTGTAAGGTCTCCTTTGACTGAGTTAGGTTTCTCAATTAAGGATACCCTTCCTGTCCTCCACTCTGCCGGGATTTCGTGGGTACCATTCAGAATGTAATTGAAGACCTCTGATACATAGCTGCATCCAATGTCATTCAAAGCTCTGAGGACTCTCGCTGGTATTCTATCTGGACCAGTGGCTGAGGACGCTGAGATGGTAGCTAGAGTTGCTCTCACCTCAGATCCCTCAATGGACAGATTTACCGCTTGTCTCACTTGACGAGGGGGTCCGCTCATCTGTTCGACTTTCCCCGTAGTCTCCAGTAGGCGTTCCGCCACTCGAGTGAGATGATTGGCCATATCCGTCGGTTGAATGACCTCACCTCTCTCGTTCAGTAGGCGGGGCCGTCTGGGTGGCTTTTTCTCGCTCTTTTTCATGTGGTCCCAAAAAGCTTTTGATTTCGCTTGTCTTGGGGCGTTCATAATTCGATCGTATGTTTTGCGATCTTCGATTTCGAGCAGGCAAGCGACTTCTCTCCGAACCGCGTTTTGGGTCTTTCTGTAGAGTCGCTCTGCCTCGTCGACGCCGTCCCCCGCGCGTCTTGCTCTTCTCCATGCTCGATTCCGTTCTCTCCTCTTCTTCGTTAGATTCGATGGTTCTACTGCGCATCCCCGATTATCGTTTCCCCAAATATCAGTTCCCCGATTATCGTTTCCCCGAATATTCGCCCGCTGATTTGGCGGCGTCTCTCGGAGGCTGTGCGCTGGAGGATCGTGGACTAGCGGACGCTCATTGTGATATCATAACACTCTCATAATTCCAATCCAACCGCCGCGACGAGGAGGCGGACCATAGCGATCTCGAGAATACACTCAACGTCGTCGTCAAAATACGGCAGTGAAATCGCCGTGTCGAACGACGGCCCGATCCTTCATCTTCCACTTTCTCGATCCGATTTGTGAAAAAAGACTACCCTGCGAGGATCGTCATCTAAATCCGCCTCAGGTGAATCTCAAAATAATTGCTCACTGATGCTCTTCGATAGTTTCATAAGAGGAATTCATCCACCGGCTTCTCTTCACAATGTGACACGATCCGCGCAACCGAAGTCCTAGTCCCGAACTTTGGGAGTAGGCTTCGGAGCGCAGATTTTTTTACATTTGTCTTTACAATTTCTCCTTAGATTATTGACATTTTTAGGTTATGTGGTTATGATGGTATGACTTTTCTCAATCCTGCGAGAAGAGATGGAATCCTGCTTTCAAGACATAATCTATAAGCGGGATCGCGTTCGACTCGAACTCATCGATGATGGAATCTGGGCTCACTAGCTAAGTCTGTGGACACCAATCTGAAACAACACCCTGTGAATCTGGAAGATCACGGCACAAAAATAAAGAGTCGGTGGTTCGGTGAGAACACTACTGCTCCTTAGCTCCTCGGTTTATTAAACACATGTATACGGCTATATATACTTATCCCCGGGTGAGGGGAATACCCGTAACCAGAACACGGAAGTTTTCTGGTATTAGTAACCCACTTGGCTAAGTGGAACACTGTACGTTAGTCAGGAAGCCACTGCTTCCTGTATCACTACTTCCTATACCCGAAGTGACATGCCTCAGCTATACCAGAAATATTGGTATATTTCATCAATCGACCAATCTGATGAGCTTCCTGTCCAGGTCTTCATACTTCTTCTTGACTTTCTCGGGGGCTTGGCCCATATCCAGCATGAGAATTTTGACGCTGTACTTGGCCTCTTGCTTCTGGAGGTGTTTTATCATTTCGAAAAGGTTGACATGACTTTTCCGGACGATTCGATTGGAGCCTTGATGCCAGCCTTCAATGTGATTTGTTGTTCGAGCTCCGAAGTTTCTATAATGGTTCCATAGATCCCGCGGGAATATCGCGTCGTTTTCGAGCCAAGTCTCGATGAAATATTGCTTGAAGGCATCGAGCTTCTCATGCGCGGGATGCTCTGCGCTTGGGGATTCGGCATCAATCTCGAGCCAAGCGTCCTCGATTCGGTCGAGGGGTACTAACCCAAGTGCCGTGCACGACCGAACAAGTCGCTTGACGCCGGGCTCTGCGTAATGAGGAGCCAGTCCGAGCTGTTGAACTTTTCGCCAGATACTCTGCGCGAAGTGGAAATGGCACCCCTTCCTATTGGCCAAGGGAAACTCGTCCTCGATGGCTTTCAGGACAGCCACTTCGAAATCGACTTGGAATAATGAGGGAGATAAGGTCGCTCCGACCGCGTTCGCTCGATTTTTCAATAGAACGAACATGCGACGGTATGTTTCTTTGGTCTTGTCGGGCAAGAGGAAGTAAGCGAAAGGTATCATCTCGCCCTTATAGAGTCCATGCAGCGTGTACAGCTGCAGGAACAGGTGGGGGACCACCCGAAAGGTTCCATCCCTGAAAACCGAAGGCACTCCGCAGAGGATTTTGACCATCTCCTCGGTAGAGGAGCCTATGATTCGATTCTCCGCGCCATCGTCGAAGAGCAAGAACGGGTCGTTTCCAAGAGTTCTGTCCCATTCTCCTGCGATGATAATTTCGGTTCTCGACTGCGGCAGAGGTGGTCTGATACTCGCTCGGGCTCTGTACAGAGACGCTTGGATCGAGCGATAGGTTGGCAGCGATGCACCAATATCTTCACTTGCGTAATGTGGCCGCATCTCGCCTTCACAAGTTACAAGAGCCTCAGAATACACCTCTTTGACTCCGCAATCAGCTCTCTCCTTGGCGGCTGCTTTCATTTTCGAGAAAACTGCGCGACGGATCATGTCGCCGTGGTCAGGCTCGTGAAGATGGGTTCCACTCTGCTTCTTCACGATAAGGTCGGGTGTTTTGAGCAGAATCAACCTAACCGAACCCGTTCTCCCTCTTCCGTATATAGCGACAGTATAATGTTTCGTCTTTCTTCCGCTCCACTTCAAACAAATAACTTTCGAAGAGATACGATGGCTTCCCCCGTTTCGATTCTACTTCTTGGATGGCCATTCTTAGCGAGTTCTTGCAAGGCTGCTGAAATGTCTGGTCACCGTCCCAAACTGAGGATTGGATCTGGCGCCCTCCTCCGAACATATCTGTGATGACAGACACGTCAAGCTCTCTCAGCGCTCCGCGAAAAAACTGAACTTCAGGTGATCTATGCAATCTAGGGGGTGATTTATTGATGCCAGGTCGGATCTCATTCCTCCGGCGAGCTTGAGGCTGGAGGGAATTGAGAGGTAGAGAGAACTGAGAGGCAGAAAGAAAATCTTCTCCCGAGTCTCTGGGAGAGATGTCGAGGACGTTCGAGAGAGACTTCCGGATATGCCTTCAACTCATAACAAGCTCGAAAACAAAAACATTCGCTTCAAGAATAGAGAAGTCCGGTGCACCAAGTTCTCGAAAATGGGCCAATAGCAGAGTAGAAACGACAAGTCGAGTCTCCCATGAAATTCGGGGACGAAGCATTGAGGTTCGTAGCCCTGGAGATCAAGATCGTCCCTTCGGCTATACAGAAGACTTTCCGCGAAGGAGACGCCTAGCTCGAGACGTTCGCCCAACTTCGTATGATATTTCATCACTCGGGAGCTTCTCCCTCTCTGAGTTTTTCCCAGCTGTTCTACCTAGAGAACTGCTCGGACAGCCTCCGAGAGACGCCGTCAAATCGGCGGGCGAATATTCGGAGAAACGATAATCGGGGAACTGAGAATCGGGGGATCGATATTCGGGGAAACGATAATCGGGGATGCGGGGGGTCACCGATTCGATAGCTCGGGTGATGACAGGCTTTCTTTCGGGCTCAGAGTAACGAGTTTCGTATTTCTGGACAGTGCATCTCTCAGGACAGACATCTCTCTCAATCGAGAAGCTTTCTGGCACCCATTGCCACGGTCCGCAACATCAGGAAATCATATACCGATCGACTTGCGCGGAGATGAGACGAGAAGTGCGAATTCAGCCCAATGAAGGCCTGAAGGAGATTTACACCAATGTTTTAGGCAACACCGTCAACAGTCTCAGAGATGTAAACGACGATGGGGAAATAGGCGCCGCAATCCCTGCTTTCGACCCCGTCCGAAGCATTCTCCGACGCCAACGAGTGAGAATTCGACCGGCTCTGCCATCCTCGCGGGAAGATATTGTCACGAACAGGACCAGGTCCGTTGCGTCATCATCAACCTCTTATTACTCCCACCACACGATTTCGACCATATTACACTCTATTCCAACACATAACACATCCCGACACACACTCCCAGAGAGAGGCCAGGTAATCACCAAGGGTAATCTTACTATACAGTTAATCTAAGGGGTTCCTCTCCTTCCTTCCCATGTGTATATTCCATATTCATTATTCTTATGTCGTTCGTTATTTCCTAAGTTAAATCATCTCAATCAGAGATAAATAAATAAGACTCAGAGTCGGTAGCGCACTTGGGGATCGGCGGCGCGTATCTATAGCGAACTCTTCTCGGAACAGCTCTCTGGCCACGGAGGGCGCGACAGTCTCTCCAACAGCTGACTGTCAGTGGCGCTGTCAGTGGCCGGAACTGTGACGTCAGACGTCAGTAGCAATCTCGATACCGGTAAAGCCTGATCACGCTCAGCGCTTCCCCGATATTTCTAAGGACTCAGGGTTCAAATCCTTGATCCCGGTTTGCGAAAAGATAGGCCTGGGTCACGCCCCGCTATCTAGTTCATCCCCTACAAGTGCGCGCAGACTTAGAGTCATTTCTAGTGAATCCTCAGTGTCCTCATTGGAAGTGCTTCGAAGCTGTGCCACAATAAATGGTGTCAGAAGTATCAAGAACTCATTGCCCGAAGGTCCAAATCCATCGGCATAGAATCTCCAGGAGGTGAAGACCCCGTCCAAGGACTCTCACTCCCTCGAGCTCTCTTCGAGAACCCAGGATTCGCTACCACAGCCAGGCCAAGCGAGCCGAGTGCGTGGAAACCCAAAACCGAGAATCTCAGGGAGTCACGTCTCCCAGACTCCTCCGAGAGCAACAATCCACACCAGTGTTCCCAGCGATCCTGAACTCAACTAATTCCGAGGATAAATTTCCATCAAATCATCAGTCATCAGGACGGCGAGGCCTAACCCACCATGGGTGACGGGCCGAGGAGAACCATTCAGGAGATGTCCCAGGAGTCCTTCGACAGGGAGAATTCCCAATTTCTCGCGGATCAGTTCCAACACATGAGAGTGGACAACCGGATCAACGACAGCGAGGAAGAAGAGATCTTCGACAGAGCCCAGGGCCCTCTAACCCCGATGCCTGACTCTCCACCACCGTCAACCACGGCTGCAACCCGATCAAGCGCCGCCGGCCAGCCCGAGCCAGGCACATCGTCCGACCAAACTGCGGGGCGAAGAGACGCACTGTCCATCATCTCACACGACAGACGTGTCCCCCCCAACTGTTGAACCCAGTGGTCGAAGATCTCAAAGAGCGCATTGATTTCTTCCTTGAGGAGGCGGGTTCGTTTTACAACGAGGATGACAATCTTAGGGATTCATTAGTGGAAACAGATCGTCTGAGAGGCATCCTGACAGATCTCCTCTCACAATGGATCCAATCCTCACAGTCCCTAATGAAATCATCAACTCGACCCCCCCAGAACTCAGGAGATCCTGGATAAAGACGGAGAACGATATTAGCAAGGCTATCACACATCTGAAGGAGCTGAGGGTATCAATCGTAAACGAGATAAACTGCTCCACAGAGACGACCTTTGCTACTACTCAGACCCGTCTCCAGAATGCAACCACCAGCCCGGAGCTCCCGGCCCGGGATACGACACCGAGCGCTCAGATCTCCTCATTGGATCCCCCTCAACCAGAGGACGTCATTCAATTAGCTTCAACCCAGATCGACGAAGTCCGAGGGGCGACACGGGATCACGAGCGAACTCCGCAAGAATCCTTCCGGTTCTCCCACATCGCCCAGATGCCACCGCCAGACTCCACACCTAGCATGGGAGGCCAAATCATGACCCCCATCGGCTCTCCCCAACCTGTCTCATCGAGTCCAAGAGCTCCGGAACCGAACCCCCAGCCAGCGGCCATCGCGAGCACTTCTTCAGGAGAAAACCCGGAAAACTACCTGCCGAAGCTAGCGAAGAACTTCAAAATGCCAAAGTTCAACGGTGATTCCAAGGAATACCGAAAATTCATGGATACGTTCGACGCCTTCGTGCACAATCGTGAGATTCCGGTTCTTCAGAAGATAATCCTGCTGCAGGACTCGCTATCAGGCAAGGCCTACCACTCGGTGAAGCATCTAAACTTACGAGCGGAAAACTACGAGCCCATGAGGCAGCTCCTAGAAGAGGAGTTTGGTCAGACCAGTTACGCGGAAGACGCCCATGTTCGAGAGATGGAGAGAATCCTGTCTTCCGGAGGGGAAATCACAGTGGATAAGTTACCCTTTTTTGTAAACTTGGTCTCTCAGCATATTCACGCATTAATCGCCCTAGGGCATACGTTCACATCGCTCTCACTTTTCACTAACAGAATACTAACCAAACTCTCGAACACTACACAACGTAAATTCATGGAACAATATAGCTCGCAATCAACGAACCAAACAACGCAGCTGGAAAACCTGCTGAAGTTCATGAAGACAGAAGCCCGCTTGACGGAAGCACTCCGGGCAAAACAAGCAACCGCGAAGAAACAGTTTCCAACCGCGACGCCGTTCCGAGGCTCGAACCACGGGAACAGAGCAGACCAATCGACCTCGCACCGCCCCAGGAACCCCAATTATCGTTCAGAATCCTCCCAACTCAGGCCAGACCACATGTCATTTAAAAATACCTCCAATAGTTTTCACGTATCATCATTCAACAATCGAATACCCAATCGCTCCGTCCCAGCCACCCCGCCCCGATCCCAACCCATACCTTGCATTTTCTGTCAGGCAGATCACCCGGCCTTCAAATGCACAGCCCAGCTATCGCACCGCGAACGCCTCGAGAGGGCTACAGCAGCCGGAGCCTGCTTGCGATGTCTTAAGCTGAACCACATCGCAAGGAACTGCAGGGAGGGCCCAAAGCACAACTGCCGGTTCTGCAACGCCAAGCATTATGCAATAATATGCAGCAAGGCTCCCATCAACCAGAACGAGCCTACCACGCGAGTCACCTCCGTTAACCACAGCGCAGATCCCAGGGAAGAATCAACCTTCCTGTGGACAGCTCATGTTATCGCCGAGAGCGACTCGACCAGCAGTGTGTGCCGCATACTCATAGATCCAGG